CCACTTACTAAAAGCATACACGCTTAAAAGGTTACGCTCAAATAAAACACTTAAGTTTTAAAATGATATTGTGTTACTTCAGCAATTGATTTAAAGATAACTTGGCACTTTGTATGTTATGATATTTACATATACACCTAGAATTAAAAGAGGAAAATTACATGAAAAGATTACCTCTTTTTGACGTTCTTCAAACCGGGCAAAATCAATCAACAAACGAGCCTGGGGATTATCTGTGCCAAAAAACTCAACTGCCCTCTCGAAAACCAGACGAGCTGAATTGATAAAACCATTTCTTTCCTCGAATTTTGAATACTTAATCCAGTTTTTTGGTTCAGGATGAACTAGAACAAGTGCACGGCAGTTAAGGAATTTCTTTTAATTGTTAAAGTAATGAACACTTCACACAATCTACGACAGTTAATGAAACAGGCTTATAATACCTAAAAAGATACCACTCAAATACTGAATTAAAAAGGATATATCTTTCATAAACTAGACGTGCTCTATCCATCTCTTTATACCGAAGTTCGAAATTAATATAGGCATGCCAAGCCTGTTCTTCTGGTTGCCATTCCATCCATCTCTCGAATATTTGTCGGGCACCAGCAACATTACCCAGTGTTTCTTCCATATACGTATATTTATACCAGAACTGATTAGCTCGAGGCATTAAAGTAACTGCACGGTCCCACAAGTTTCGAGCATGGTTCACCTGTTTATGGCGCATCTCCATCTCGGCATACTTAAGCCAAAGACCAACATTTCTGTAGTCCACATCCAAAGCACGTTCAAAAACTGAACGAGCCCTGAAAGTTAGTAATTATATACGAAAATATAGAATGGAACATTTGAACTCAGAAAAAACTTTCTAACAAAAACAACCTCGCCATCCTAATATTAGTTATTAGACCTGTGATGTAGTTGGTTTATGGTTATTTTGTTACTAATTCATATTCTATAATCTCAATTTGGAGAAAATCATACCTAAATTTGGTAATTTATTTACCGATAATTGCACAGTTTGTGCTAATTTTGGTCACTATTTGTAGATATCAATCAGTCAGTCAGTTACAGCATAGGACCAGACACATATATGCATCGGTCCAAGTTGCCATACCTCATTGACACAACAAGATGAACACTGGATTCATAAAAGTAGTTAACTCAGAGGTGGTAATATATAAAACAAAGATTGCAATAAGGATATAGTACAGGAAGAAAGAATTAGTTGTTAGAAAGAAAGATGTAAAGCAATTTTAATCTCATAATTTAAGGGAAGACAGAGGATGTATACAACTATGCCATTGTGATCGATTCTGAGCGGCAACCCACAGTCTTCAACCATTGGTTACGATAGTCACGCGGATCCCAATCAAGTAGTTCGCATCTACTAACATGGCTCAGACTAGAATTTAGTGACTTCACGAACTGATGACACGTTTTGGTTTAGCCGCCTCTAACTTTCTTCCAACTATCCCCAACACTAGTCAGCACTGCACGTCGTGGTAATTGGTGTTCAAGCATACGTAACACGTGGCCCAACCATCTCAGTCGATGAAGATTTACAACCTCATCAACTGATTTACCATCATTCCCTAATGCCCTGTGTCTAACCTCCCTATTACTTACCCAGTGATCCCAGCAATATTTCTAAGACATCTGCGGTCAAATGCTAGTAGCTTATGAGTATATTCTACTCTTAATAGCCACATTTCGCAACCGTAAAGTAGAACGGAACGAACTGCTGCGCAGTATATTCGTCCCTTAATTGATAGACGGATATCTCACCTTCGCCATAGGTGACGTAAGTTGGTAAAAGTCGAACGAGCTTTCGGAATCCGTGCAGAGAATTCGTCAAACGCCAACCTATTCGGTGATATTTGCACTTCGTGAAAATTTAGATGTTGCCTTAATTCTAGTTGGTTTATCGCTGGACGTGTACGATAAATATAAGGTTTCGCTGATCGAATCGAACCACATGAAGATCTGTTAATATCCTTGCAAATAGCTTTTTAAGCTGCGTTTCCTCCAACGCTCCCTATGGGAGACTGGTTTTAAAATTACGAAATGAGTTTCTTTTAAAAGTTGCTCATAAATGACCACATTTTTACTCCTATTATTATCTTCCTATGATAATTTCAATAAGTTTGTAATTATTGTTGTTACGTAACACGTGACCCAACCATCTCAGTCGATGAAGATTTGCAGACATAAGTTTAGAAAACTTTTTTGAATTTGTGAAATATTTTAGCATATGCTAGTCGTATTCTTAAGTGGTTGGTATTGTAGTTGACCGACTATCAACTGATGCACAAACTGAGACATAAACCGCTTTTCTGCACAAGAATTATTTATAGTTAAGTATAGATGGTTCATATCCTAATATATAAAAACGCTTTACACTGCCACATACAGATCGTGTTTTAAAAAACAAAGACAATAATTGCAATAGGGCTACAGACAGATTGTACGAATTTAGGGGCGAAACATTTTTAAAGGACGATATAAGTATGCATGTTAGCCACTGCTGCTAATCTTTATCGAGACTGTTTAAAAACGCTGATCATACATTCTTATCCCACAAGTCCAATCCCAAGAATACAGAGGTCTACGCATATCAAACCAACATAGTAATTTAATATATTAGTGCTACGTTTTGGTTGAACGAAAATGAAAACTTCCACTTTTTTACAATGACATGTTACCATTTCGGAATATATAACAATTAAGTTGATAATAAACTCTCAGCTGACTTCAATTAGATGGTTATAAATTTGTAATTTTAAACACCCAAATTTAACAACGACACGTCTGCTGCTGCTTCATCGAATTGATGAATTTTTATACAGAATATAAAAGCGATCAACATACCACACTACTATTACTCCGTATAATAAGTCGGTAAAAATAGTTTAGTAGTATTAGTGGTAAGACTATAACTTACGGACGAACCAGTCCAACTTACGACAACAGGTCTTATATTTCGGCGCGAAATTCTTCATCTATTTGTCTAAATACCGTATTGGCATTTTAGCTGATGTCAGTTAGTGATGAAAATCATAAATCCAATCTCTATGCATAACCATCAACTATGAACCATAATCTTTATTCTGCACACTGGTTTGAACCCTCATTTAGCCCTGGTCAGTATTTGTGCATTCTTAAAGCTACTTTAGCGTTATTTAAAGGTCATCCGAAAAATAGAGTATTACCGAATTAGTTGCGATACGATAGACAGTTCCTTCTTGGAAGATGTCGCACGTCTCGTATAAAATGCGGAAATCGACTAACCTTTGAAGTTCACCTTGCGTTTCCTCAAACTTTGCATACTTAATCCAATTTTGCATAGCCAATCTGTTCTTCCTAATGTTATCTTCATAATCTTTTCTTTTACGCAGCTGAAAGTCTCTCAACTCCGAAAGGCTTGTAATTTTCTGCTGTGGGGCCTTCGGTGTAACTTCGAGTTCTCTCTCTTTAGCTTCTCGAAGAAGCTGCTCAGCTGTTATTTGCACAGCAGCTGGCATTTTATTTTTTACCTATATATAAATATATATAATATACCATAACTTACCCTGGCAATCTTTGCTTTTTTATTCTTAGGAACGCCTGAGTCCTCAACAGCTCTTTTGTCTGTTATCATTTTGTTTGCCACTTAATTTATCTACACAACACGAACGACAGTAACGCACAATTCGACACTCCCTCTATTATCTAAACGTTTCACCTAAACAATAATTGTAAGACAGTTTAATTATTTCTGAATGACTACTTCTGTTATATTCTTGATAACCTTAAAGTGCCTAAATACACATGATCAAGCTTTAATATAGTGTGGAACAAGAAGTGAAAGTAATAGTCGTCGCTGAAATATGTTTCTTCGGTATCGTTTTATCTCAATCAAACACCACATATTGCAATATACCTCATGTTCTTGTGGAGATTTGATATGATCAGATTTATTTCTTTGCGTTTGCTGCTTTTTTCCCCGTATGGTCACAAGAACTTCTTATTGTTAAATAGAGAGTAGACTAGCCACTCCATTGTATTAATCCTATTCAGTGTGGTAGTTATTTTTAAGATTGTGAGTCTTGTAATCCAAACGATTACGCTTGCTTAGAGGCAGTAGATTCTTTGTAAATAACAGCTATCATATTTTCAAGTAGAAGGTTGGTTCTTTACGATGAGAAAAATAATGAAGTGGTGACGCTTATTTCAGGAGGTAAATAAACAAGTGAAAAAATCTATTATTTACTATTACGAACAGTGCTGGATCTACCTACTGGAGAGGCTTTGTTCATCCCGGATGGGACAGGATTCTGATTCAAGGTAACTCCTAATGAGCGTTCCTGGGACTTCGTTCTGTGATGTCAGTTTCTCCTGAGTTGCCTCGAGGATTTAAGTTTCGTGTTTCAGGCGTATGTAGTGTGCCATTATCGTATCACACTTTTTTCTCAAAAACCCAGTAAACATCTTAAATAACAAGTTTATATCCGTGAGATTTGTTCCTTAGACGTATGTCTAGTTTAATTAACTGTGATAAGCTGCCATCGTATTTATTGAAGTATGAGATTAGCACTTCCTGAATCTTTAGTGTGATTTGAATAGGTGTTCAACCTCTCTGCGGCCTATAGTCCCACATTGTACCCTGTGAAGACAATTGGAGGAAGATTTCCATATGGGACACAAGTCGTTTGTTTCGAGGATCGACTGATCTTATCTGGCTAGCGATTGCAGGGGATTTGAGCACGATATTCTCACTGTTGATCTTTTGCGGCTGCATGACCGAGCGCCTTCAGCTAGGTCAATCCATTAAAACTAATGTGGTCAGCATCTAATGTCGAAGACTTACAAAGCTATTTATTTTGTGGATTTATTTACCGCTACAAGGTAACGCGGAGAAGAAGGTGAGTCTATAATTTATGGACGAACCAATAAAACTTAGGATATGCTTGTAATCCTCATTTAGCCCTAGTAAGTAGGTTGACACACTCAAGGTCACTCTAACGTCGCTCAAAGGTCGTCCATAAACTAGTCTCACCGCATCAGCTATAATACGAAACTTAATGATATTGATTAGATTTCACAATGTTTATGTAAATTTAATGCAAATCATGTGAAAATATTAGGGGAAACCTTGAAAGTTTCACTACATTCAGGGGTTTCGATTGAATTTCAGCTTATTACAAGGAAAACCTCTTAGGCAGAAGAAATTTTGGTGCTTATGATTTCATTTTCTCAGAAACTTCCGTAAAATGTCTTATAGAGCTCCTTCGAAATCGGTAAAGTTTCCGCTGATGGGAAGTTAATTTTACTTTCAATATAAGGGAGTTATATTTTTAAAAACTGTGTTCGCATACATGGGTATATGATTTATGGAATGTCTGTTCACAAATGTTTTCTCCAGCTTCATTCTCTTATCTTTAGAAGGGTTTCCGTTTACATTTTCAATATAAGTGCTATTAAAAGGAAATAAGATTAAGGAACTCAGAAAACGTAAGGCATTCCCTTCTTTTTCTTCACCTCAAGTGAGATCACACTGTAGTACTTTAGTAAGTACTAGGACTTCGCGGGAACATGTTATTAATATAAGAATACTTCACAATATTAGCAAAAATCCATGTGTTATGTAATCACTCTCAAACTCATACTCCATGGTTCTATACCTAGGTGCTTTACAAACTGGCGAACTGTCAGCTCAATTTCCACTTATCGTAAATACTGTCAGTTCGTTCACATCTGGTGTTCTGTGAGTGATCATTTTGGCAGTGTCATACATCGACCCCCTTAAATAGCCTGACATATAGACTGTAAATTTCTGAACAATAACTCCATTCAAAGCAAAAACGTCGCTTATTCCTTTCTGACACTAGCCACCACTAAAGCTTTTGTGATAAAAGGTATTGAACTGATTTACGGTAAGGGGCTTTCATAATAACGTTGTTCTTTATGAAAATGGGTTGTGATTCTTAGACTGTCACGATTAACTATGTCGTTTACTGGTAGCTTCCCTAGACTTATTTTTAATGTAAAAACTGTCATTCCTTATTCCCTTACAGTGTTTTTCAAATATCACATTCATTCATAAATACCTAATATAAAGATTCCATTAACTACTGGATACAACATGTAACACGGACTTGGCCATTGATGCTGGTTTAGCTCTTATGGCATCTTAATCGTGTATATTTGTGTGTGTATGCATATATTCATATACTTATCATAAGTAGTTGCAGCTGCATGTTGGTTAGAATGTAATAAATAGATGTAGTTTGTCACGAAGTTCTCACTCAGCTTTCCAAAGTAGTGTTTTTGTCATGCAGACATTCAGTAATCCTTTATAGTAGTAAGAGTTATAAACGAACTAAGTTTTCTGTATTATGGAGTATTTAGATGCTAAACTTAGGAATCACTTACCTGTCATTCCCGTGCTTATATATTTCACTTCTTTCGATTATCGGAATAGACAGAATAAATATACGTACAGATCATGAACATTTTTAATGGTTCTTTGATTGGTGTAAATTGGTTGTCGACAGAAAAATCTTTTGATGTATTCACTTTGTTCTACAGCTGTGGTACTGTTATTGTTGTGTTGTAATAAATATTTTTCTCGCAACTTCGTTTCAGGTTTTGTAGAAAGCAGGACGTAGTTATTAAAGAAAAATGACATATAAAAGCTTGGAAACTATTTGGCAGCATTGCCCAATTACTGCTTTATCCTATATTTCAAAAAGTTTGTTGGCTGTAGGCTCCGCGAACGTATTGAACATATACAACATACACAAAAAATCAGTGCTGTGTAAATATTTGTTGAGGCGTTTCGTCATAATGCACAACATAGAGACAATACCAGGTACTTTCTAATTTAAACCAGTTTCAATACCAATATTTGACCATAGATTCCAGACGTAACAGTTATATCTTGTGCACTTTTGGAAATAGATTTGTCACTGTCCTCGGATTCGATCTGTCATCTTCCAATTTATCGTTAATATTTGAAGATTATCATTGTGATAATGTTGTATACTGTAAAATTAACACAAATGAATTATCACTTTACCTACAAACTCTTTCCAGTCATGGTTTATTCCAGGTCATCAAATTGTCATGGGATTTTAATAAAAATAGTAATAACGTTGATGTCACTTGTGTTCACCTTCAAACGAGTGCTTGGTGAGTGGTCATAGCTTTCTTGGAACTATTCTTATGTTGATATTAGTTACACAGGTCATATATTTCAGTACTCATCTCCAAGCTCTTCATTATTGTCTTCACCAGTTGATAAAGCTTTAGTATTTTGCGGATCTACTTTTGGAAATATTCATATCTTTAAAATCCCAAACGACAATGTTACACAATCTTCTGTGGCTCCGAGCTTAAGTCTGTGCGCACAAAAGGTAAGATGGATGATGTATACCGGATTTTTTTACAGTTAAATCTTCTAAATTTCGTTGAACCTCACAATTCTGTCACTAATAAAAAGGGCGTGATATTTTCTCTCGATTTCTGTTGTTTAGCTAGTGAACAGTCATCGTCTAAAAAGTCATTCCGTCTGGTCTCATGTGCTGAAGATCGTAGCATCGCTGTTTGGTCGACTTCAGTCGAGTCAAATGGAGGTGTGAAGGATTTCAGCTTTTGGGAATTAGTGTACAATTTAAAGGCAGGCAGCATTTTCGACGACAGTGTAATATTTGAATCTAGGATATGGTGTGTTCGTGTCGGTGATTGGGGAATAGTAGCCACTGGAGAAGTAAGTATTCGTAATCCCGTATAATATTTGAAATGATTTGTTCTATTTAACTTCAAGTCACATACTACTCAATTACCAAATAACCTTTAAAATATGGTTTATTTGTGTTTTGCGATGGTCACACATATTTGCCTCATGTGTTTTTCTAAAACTTGAAATAGCTCGTTTAGTAACCTAGTAACCTAACAGTAGTTCATCTGGTAACATAAGATAGTCATAGTATCATAAGTAATGTTTCTGTTCATTGTTGCTCTTTTACTATACTCACACTCCATTATCTATTTTTTCACGACCTCTTTTATTGTGTGGTGCACATGTATCTGGTGCCACCTTGTACTAATGTTTGTGTTCAAGTAAATAAATGTTTTTAAAGTCTCGAGGTACAGAATATGATATCCATAACCTAAAGGTACGGCTAGTGGATAAATAAATCGTTTCTAGAAAAGTAGTTATAATTATATATTACTCTTGATATCCTGTGTTTCTAATGGAAGCGGAATTACTTTAAGGTTCTTCTATATACTCATCTCATGAAGACCTTGCAAATCATATCAGCAGAAGTTTTAATGAAGTTGTTTCTGAACTATTCTTCAGTTACACATGTTACCCGTAAGATATATGAATCAAAAATGTGTCTAAGGCAATTACTTTTCTGTCGACCAAAGTATAATAAAAAGATGGATAGTGGCTAGCAGTGGAATCCAGGACGCGTGTTTCACAGGATGCACATGTGCCAACAAGAGACTGATTAATTGCAATCCTAAATAACGGCGGGAAGGTACTAGTAAACAACACCAAGTGAGTTCAAGCTATGATGAATTTAGAGTTGTTTTGATGTTAGTTTGCAAAGCATTACATCTAGGATTTTTATGAGTAGCCAAAATGTACGAAGCTGAGCAACAGGGGAAATAAGACCACAGATATTTCAGAAAATTTGAAGCCTGGAATTTACTAAATGTCTCTCCACTTTGTTCGTAGTTGTTGATTCAAAGGAAATCCTAATCTTTCATTCATCGGTAAAAGTAACCGGAAATGTTTTTTTTTCATTTTTTACTACTGGAAAAAGTGGCATCATGTCGACTAGTGTTTATTTCACTTTCCTGGATTCATATGACTAAAAGACAGGTAAACCACAAAAGGTTATTTTTGCTGGTTGATTTGAGTAATGTTAGCTATTAACATCTTTGATATGCCCATATCAAATCCTGAATGTTCCTGATGTAGATTTCTTTTCGTGGGTAAGTTATTAGTTGTTAGACTGTTTTGTAGCGGTTTTTAATTTGTTCAGTTTTTGTTTATAAGTTTGTGATTTAAATCTGCATCTACGTAGTGTAATCTTTATAGCAAAGTATTTGTACAATCATTTTCATAAGTTACTAAGTGAAAATACACATGATTTTAGTTTGTAACGACAAAGTTGATTGAGATATACTTATTTACGTGATCAGTTTATTTTATCAATTCCTAGCCAATTTTTTTAATATTCTGAATCTAAAAAGAATCGGTGTACTCTTTTTAGGATTGCCGTGTTGTTTATTATCAATGGAACAAAATATCACACCCTAATGTCTTGCGAAATATTCATCGTGGACAAAATGTTTGGTGTTGTAGTGTTTGGAGCGACAATACAGATAACTCGGAGTTTGTCTTATTGGTAAATTGTTATATTGATGTAATGTACTTTTTTCATAGCTTCATACTAATGCGTACGTAAAAGTTTTTGATTCTTAATTGTACTAAACACTAGAATGTACAACTTCTTCAAGTTCAAAATTTATCCACAATGGAGCGTTAACAAATCTTTTTCATTGATTACTGAATTTTTCTTCAGAGCCTGACCATTTATTTACAAGGCCGAAGCGTGCTGCATCTTTTTTGTCAATTAGATAGCTTTGTTCTCAAACAAAAAGTGTAGTTTAGTTCTATGAACCCATCTGTCTTAAAATTATAATTATTTTACAGTTTTTGAAGATACTTCTATTTCACTACCCATACGATGTAATTTTTATAATTTAATGGGTTTAGCTTTTGTGAATTTAAGGGTAAAGCATTTTTTACATATTAGTATGTATTGATATGTTGTAGTGCTATGATTTATTATTAGTCACTTTATGATTGAATCCTCAGGAAAGTTATTTGTTAGTCTCTTCACTACATTAAACAGTGATTACAGTTAATTCTCCTGAATTAGTCCAGTTCTATTATTTGTCGTGTGATTTTTTTCTTAAGGCAACTGGTGGGAATGATGGTGCCATATGTATTCGCGAACTTACACACTATCGTAATGATTGTGATGAATCTGAATGTATAATACTACCATGCCATGAATTCACAACGAATAACACTAAAGAGTTGATGATAGATTCACATGAAATGAAGATAACATCTCCGCGTTCCCAGCAGGTAATGATATTTTGTACGTCACTACACTACTGATTCACGTATTCTTGTTTAAGAAACAATTTATATTGAACGATAGGGGTTTAAATGTGTTTATTCTTTTCTTCTAGTTTTTAATAGCCTTTATATCACATTGTCCATATTATCGCTGAATTGTGACATACATTTATGAATAGCATTGTGCTTCAGAGGTTCAGACTCATTCCATGTAGTCTGATCTGGGCAACAAGTTAGTACTATTGTCCTTAAACAGTTATACGCTCATTGTAACTTATAACTTGGTATATAAACACGTAAGTTATTTGTATGTTTAATATTAAGCGATCCTAGATTGAATTTAAGGAATAAAATGTTCCCCGGATTCGGTCCAGTTTACAATGTGCCTTCTTAATTATTAACCAGACACTGTTCAGACTAAAATGCTTCAATGTGTAGGAAAGTTTATCAAAATCGAATCTTAATATACGGAGATCATGAATATATATAATTTGTTCATCTAATACATGTAACGATGTATGAGCTTTGGCATTGGCTGGGTGGATATTCCCCCTAATTTGATAGAATACACATTCATGCACATTGAACTCAGTACCATGATTAATGGACTTAATATACTTTTATCCTACTTCCTTTCTAGAAGAACACTCTCATTTTACAAACTATTCTAATCGTATCGAAAAGTGTTAAGGATATGTAGAACTTTCCCATCAAAGATTTCACAGACCAGGTATAAAAAAGCTTATTCCAAAAAACTGGGTCAGTACATTAGTGATGGAAGCTACCAGGTCATTTCCTCATTTTCACTGATAAGGCGTGGCAACTAATTTTTTTCTGTTCAGACAAAGTAAAACTAGGAAAAACTACAATGCTACTTAATTTAAAGTTGTAGGTCTATGTACAACCAATTCAAATTGATATAGGAATTTAGACTGATGCATATATGCACACCAGGTTCTACGTTGCTGATCACTAACTTACTGTACTACCAAACTACATCAAGCAAGTTTACAGTTTGTTTCTGTCAACATTTGTTTTTCTAGGTCTCTTTCAACTTCAAAGAAAAAGATTTTGCACGTGTTCTATTTTTTGGTTCATGTGGTCGTCTGTTCTACGTAACAAATTTAGGGTGGGTTACCAATGAGTTTTCCTTTCTTATTATCCGGATGGAGTAACTTATAATTGGTTGTGTGCAATAGTAACATTCCAGTTTCATTTGCAGTTACCATTGAGAGATAAAAGTGGTGCTACCCACAGCTGCTCCTTTCATAGTTTTCCTTTGCTTAGATTTGATTCGTATTTAAGACACCTATTCTCATGCTAGGTAGCTGGAAGAAGTCGACAGGAAGCCATTAACGTGGGTTTCAGTACAAGTTGACATTTATCAGTAAGGTTTTAGTGGCCCGTGATCTGACTCCAATTGGATCGTATGATTGATCGTTATTGAAATATACCGACCGATATAGTCAGTCAGTCAGTCAGCTACAACGTAGGACCAGGCACATATATGCATCTGTCCAGGTTGCCATAGCGCGCTAGCACAGCAAGATGAACACCGGATTCATAGGAGTGGTTAGGCCAAAGGTGGTAATATATAGGAGGAAGATTGCATATAAGGATACAGTACAGGAAGAAAGAATTAGTTAGTAGAAAGAAAGATATGAGGTGATCTTAATCTCTTAGTTTAAGGGAAGACAAAGAGTGTATACACCTACGCCATTGTGATCAATTCTGAGCCATGTCACCAAGAGTCTCCAACCCTTGGTTACGATAGTCACGCGGATCCCAACCAAGTAGTCTGCATCTACCAACATGGCTCAGACTAGAGGTTAGTGTCTTCAAGCACTGATGCCACGTTTTGGTTTGGCCGCCCCTAATTTTCTTCTAACCACCTCTAACACCGGTTAGCATTGCACGTCGTGGTAATCTGTGTTCAGGCATACGTAACACATGGCCCAACCATCTCAGTCGATGACGATTAACAACCTCATCAACTGATTTACCATCATTCCCTAATGCCCTGCGTCTAACCTCACTATTACTTACCCAGTGATCCCAACAGACGCCAGCAATATTTCTAAGACATCTGTGGTCAAATACTATTAGCTTACGGGTGTCTTCTACTCTTAAGGGCCATGTTTCGCTGCCGTAAAGTAGAACGGAACGAACTGCCGCGCAGTATACTCGTCCTTTTATTGATAGATGGATATCTCGCCTTCGCCAAAGGTGACGTAAGTTGGCAAAAGCCAAACGAGCTTTTCGAATCCGTGCTGAGATTTTGTCCGATACCAACCCATTAGGGCTGATCAGACTTCCAAGATAAGTGAAGTTGTCGACGCGTTCGACTACTTCACTCCCTATCCTTAGTTTAGGTGTTGACGCAGACCAGTCCTGAAGCAACAACTGGGATTTAGAGGGAGAGAAGCGCATTCCAAACATTCTGGCATTGTTGCTTAGCGCTATTAAAAGACTCTGCCAATTCTCGTATATATTTATCGACTTAATCCGCGTTAGTGAATAACGGAATTAAATAAGCCGAATACGAGAATGGATTTCGAATATATATATATATATAGGACTTGTAATTATTATCATTTCATTAGTTACTTATAGACTCTTAAAATCATTTACAAAATGATATATTTGGAGAAACTCTAAGTTAGCCTCATTAAAAAAACCAATGATAATTATGAAATAATGTATAGACGTTTCTTCGTTGTGCAGACTATATATGGTGTTTTTTCCATTATTTTATTTCGATATGCTATATGTTCAAACAGTTGGAATTATCCTGGGAATATTTGATACTTTTCATAGGCTTATCTATACATATTTCTATCTAAATGACCCAATCGTTCGACAAGTATTTCCCAAGATTCATCGAAATTTCGAAGATGCAAACACTGAATTTTCGGAAAAACCTAATCGCTCTATGGTCTCGTTTTTAGGCGGCTACTTGACGTGTTGTACAAGTTTGGATCGATCCCACGTGATAATCGGGAATATATCTGGCTATCTTTTACTGGTTAGGTTACTTGAAGGTAAGTATTGCTTTTCGGTTATGTGATATGCCATACGAATGACTCCCCAATCTTATCGTTTTAATTTATGGCACCTTGATAATCTGTATTTTCAAATGATAATCTCAATGGATTTTGATGATTATGAGTAGATTTTGAATAATTGGTTTATTCTCGAGCTCACAACCTCGGAATGATACTTTAATAACATATATAAACCTCGTAAAACAATTTTGGTGTGAAGCGCTTGCGCAAAAACCTTCATTTTGTTTCTGAGTCACATTTTCCTTCGAAAAAAGCATCAATCTTTGTTTTCTTGTTTCAACGTTTCAGCAACAAGGATAACTAGTTTGGAAGCTAACGGCTGTTCGAAATATTTAGATAATAGAACTATGTATGACTTAACATGGTAGGAAGAATCAAAGAATCTCTGAGTTGGTGATTATATCCTGAGAAGTTGGGAGCTATTGGGGTTTCTTCCATAAAAAGTTAAATAGGCGCTGGTAGTTGACATCACTTCCAATGAAAATTATCGGTAGGACACACAATTTTAAATGAAATGCCGCTTATTAAAATCATATAGTTATTTGACCTTCCTTTGAATTCAGGCCTTCAGACAACAAAGCTCCATTAAAATTATACATTTGAGCTACAAATCTCCACCGTTTTGAATCCAAATACAGAAAATTAGTCTCAGTGCTTGTTGGAGTCTGAGGAATAGGTTATTTTAGAGGGTGGTATGCTCATGTTTAGTATCCGATGAGTAGTGAATGACCAATTAAAGATCTTCACAAAAACCTGAATCATGATTGATTCTCACTTTCCGTAGCTTAGTTCGGGTATCAGTTGACTATGAATTTTGAGACTTGAAAACTTGATCTTACTTGGGGTACCAGGAAGCATTGAAACAGCTGTTTCCTTTTAGTCCTACTTCGGTTTGGGCGCCCTCGAACATTATTCCAGCCCTCACACAAATCGAATGATTTGTATGGCGCATACGTATTTGGTGCCTCCTTGTACCAATTCTTATGTGTTTAAATAAATAATAAATTCTTCCTAGTATGATGCTTCACCAGTGCACTCCCACGGTTCAACATAGGAATGAACCCTGGCCCGTCATATCTTGTGACAGATACATAACGACCACACTTTCATTGAATAAATTGTATAGTTTCCTTTTATAACTTTTTTGTTTCTTTTTATTGCAAAAATAGATTCACCTTTCATGGAGTGGTTGGACATCGTTACTATAAACGATAAAATCATGAAAATTATATGGATCAATTCATCATATGTAATAATTGGACTAACAAACGGTGATTCTGTAAGTTTTTGTTTATTTCCTTTAAAATATATCCACTTTCGATTGTAAATAATATGTGATGAAAAAGCAATCGCCATTCTCTCCATGCTTTCATGTTTTAACTAATCAAAATTGATTAATTTCACTACAATAAGTATGTATTAGTGAATTGTTAAATGGATATGTTGTGAACGAGAACACAGGTGGGACAACCAATTTATTGTTAAATACAAAATTACAGAATATCTTGGTTAAATATGAGAACCATACACTGAATAGTACATTTGCGAATCTCCTGTCAATTTTCCTCAACTCGATCTTCTTAGCCTGCTGTTGCCAGGTTTTCTACTTCCGAGTGGTGTTACTACTTATATCGACAGACATATGTAGCACACACCACAGATATATCTAAAAACTAAACATAATAAATTACGTAGTAACTAGATTTATCATTATGCTTGAAATCTAGTTTTAGATACTTTAATGATTATCTTAACTCAACTTTAAAGAAGGTAAAATCTTAATTTTGCGGTGAGTGTAAACAGTCCCAGTTGGTTGTTATAAAAATTCAACCGTTTTTTCTTGTGTGTAAGGATTTATTCGTTAAATTCATTTTTTCATTACTCTTTGTCAAAGTTTGAAAGATTAAGAAATTGATAATTAGAATGTATATTGGAAGTCAGTATATATGTTATGATACAAAAAACGGCGCATATGTCGAAGGTGATATTTAACTATTTCGTGTGAAATTTCTGATCTAACTAAATTTTAGAAAAAAATGTTAGTGATATTACATCCATCTCACATTCCATGTATTTAGTGGGTATGTGCAGGCTTTCAGACCGACCTTTTAACAGTACGAAGGCGACATCTCTCGAGATGATCATCTATGGGAAACACGTTTGGCACCACATACATGTACAGTTAACAGTACAATTTTGCCCTCGAACATTAGATTCACTGATTTAGTTTTACCACTCTCTAACTGGTCTGCTTCGACTAGTAGGTTCTCAAGAAACATCTGTTCTAACCAATATACTTTGGTTATCATAACATACAGGATCATCAGCCATGTCAATAAGGTGAGACCTAGGGACGTTAGTCACCCAAAAATAAGATTTTTGATATGTGGATATTTTGCTGTTTATCGCGCTACTTCATCATTGTCACTATATGAAAACTCAGATCAAAAATGTAACTCTCCCACGTTTAAAATTTATCCAGTTTCATAATTTAATTTGCTTTTTTAACCTAGTATCTGTCGTCTAACCTCTGCACTACTTACTTAGTTTTTCCACCATACTCGAAGAATGCTTTAAAAACATCACGTATTAATAACTTTCGAATATTCCGTACTTTTGACGGCCACATTTAATGGTCATATAGCAAGATAAAATAGACTGCTACCCAGTATATTTGACCTGTAATAGATAGACGAAAGTTTGCGAAATCCAAGATAGCTTTTCGAGTCGAAGACGAGATTTTAGCAGCCACCAACTTATCAGGGCTGGTGAAACTTCTCAGATAAGTGATGCAATCAGTGAATTCTACTACCTCACCCATTATGATCGAACTAGGGGATTTGTTGTTCATTACACTCACATTTTTTTTAGTAAGTAAGATAGACATAATATATCATTTCTTTTATTCATTTTAATCGTTTACATCGTTGATGTGTCTTATTGTACGCGAGCTATGGATAATATGATTAAACAATGATAAGTAGAATTCGATAATATTCACTATAAAGTCAATAACAAGTTAAAGAAGTTTCTAAATAATTTTCTGCTTTTCATCAAGCAATATCTAACTGACCAATTGTAGTCTTTTTTTCGCTATTACCAATGAGTAACTTCATTGAGTCTAAAACATTTTTGGAATTAAATTCATGAAATTAAATTGTCCTATGTTGTTTTGTTTTTCCCCTTATTCTAAAGTTCATTATACCTTTATTAAAAGTTGAAAATACTCTTTCATTTGGTAAAACATTCACTATTATTCAAGGATCAAATAGTTCAAAAAATATGAAATGGTTAAATACATCATCTGAACTCATTCCTGTTCATTTTAATAACACTGAAATAAGTGATAAACAAATTCTTGTAACTGGTACTCGTGATGGTGGAATTTATTCTTACGTTGTAAATGTAAGTGTACTTTTTTTTATAGATTTCATCAATATGTAAATTAACTTAATATCAAACTACTTTTTTAAAATAGTAGTCAGTCGTAATTGACATATGATCTGACTAAATAAATGTAAGTTACCTTCAATATCCATATTAAGTCAGTGTAATTAAGTGGATACCACAAGAATCACAATAGTTCTAATATCTTTGATATTAAAAAAGTCCAAGATCTAGAATAGTTAGAGAAAGAACTAAAAACTATTTATGAAGGAATATTGTAATCCAAGTCCCGGAGAAATATAAAAGGTTGAATGCATCTGTTAAAGTATCTTATATACCACTCTTATGTGCAAAAATATAAGTAATATGTAGCAGGAAGAAAGACGGAAAATAATCCTAATAACAACATGATTAGAAGAATAATGGAGTATATAAAAAGACAACTAAAGGAAGATGTGAAAATGATGTATCGAATGTATGATTTTCACATTTTACCAAGGTACTGTGTAATTTTGCGTTTATTAATAAACCGGTTTACCGTACCTGAGTTTTCGTTTATTACAGCACCAGAGATCAAGTAGTTTAGTCACTGAATGTAACAACGAGATTAGTGGAAACAATTACAACAACTAGTAACCATTGGTGCAAATTGTAATTTATTAACCTAATAGATGACAATGAAAACTTCGAAATTTGACCATCTAACTCGAAGAGTTTAACACCACTAAAATGCATGAAACTCTTCATTGTAAACATTAGTAAAATGCTGGATACTAACTTTTTATCGTTGTTATAAATCTTGCCCGGTATTCTAGCGTAAGCAAAATGTACTTCTGATGAAACGCGATTTCTATTAGATTTAAACATTCCCATGTAAAATCTTTATCAAAATTATCCTTTTCGACTATCAAACCACTTATATTCATTAGTGACCGTGTACACTAGGTCAAATGCTCAGTTCAACTGGAATTCTACAAAATGTAGAATATAATTGTGGTAACTTAATATGCTTTATTGATGCTTCTCCGTGTATAGTAAGACGAAGATAATGTCAATTACTATTTTCCATTAACTCGGAAGAAACATTCCACAAAACACTGAGTAGCATGAGTTTGAATCACATAGAGAGTGCGTCATTCCCCTCAAGATAATAGACATACCTCTCCTACGAGTGCAAACTTATGCAAAGCGTAGTTCTTGGACGTCTGGGTGATTACTTGTAACATCGGAACAATCCACTATATTGTCGAGTCATCCAAACTAGCGACCACATTACAACTGGGCCGATTAAATTCTTTCAGCATTAGGGATTTAACAGTATGATATTAGTTGCTACTAAGTTAACAGTTAGGACGAAGATGATTCAAACTTCCCTAGCTAACGTAGCTCATAGAAGTTTTCTTTACCACTTACAAACTTCTTAAGTCTGAGTTTCTATAAAGATCTTTGTTAGATATGTTTATTTTGTGGAAAGAAATATCTATGAACATTTTCATATATAGAAATACTATATTTTAGAAGTACTTGTGTTACATATTCATACGCTTATTCCAGTTTCCCTTATGTTTCGATTTCATCTGCACTGTTGCTTCATTTCGCTCATAATTATTACCATTTAATCAATAAATAAGTATTGTGTCGTCTCTCTTTTATTTATCCAGTTTTTAATTGAAAGCACTAAAATGTATTCACCCGTATGGTTTTTGAAATCATGTCATAAATCTGGTGGGTGTACATCGATGCTTGTGATTAAAGGACAGTCAGATTGTCATCTCTTATCGTGTGGTCGAACATACGGTGATGTTAAATACTGGTCTATTCAATCAAATGGTTCATTAAATCTGTTGGCAACAATCTTAAGATCTGATCATATAACATGGATTGAGAAACTGTATCGGTCAATTGATAACAAAATTTATGCTTTAGGGTTTCAATCTGTAAGAATATTATTGGTTTCTGTTGCTTTGTTTTGTAAATACTTAAAAACTTGTCCCGTTTATATTTTTCAGTTTAATATAACTGATTAAAATTTTTGTATTAAGACGGTTTAATTTACGAATTCATTATAGAATTACATTTTATATTCTTAGGTACTAAATTACTGACTTCTACTAAATTTATGTGTATTACCTATAAATGAATACTAAGATCTAGTTAATTAGTGAAGATACATAACTTGAAATAACCAAGTCATAGGTTTCATCTAATTGTCTATTCTAGTCTGGTTTAGTTAATATTATTGGCTGGTGACTTAATCTAGGGACATTCAATTATTGAAATTTATCCATATAATTGTTAATTTGGTACGGTTATATTCATGTATTCATAATTAGAATAGAAGTTTAATACTTTGTTAGGTTATACTTTATTTGTCAGTCCATCTTATTACAGACTCAAATCTTCACTTTCTTTCTGTTCATCATGTTGAACTCGTGTCCACATGCAGTCTACGGGTGCTCGGTACAGACGAATCCGAATAGGGCTACCGGTTTGTTTGACTTAGAGCTTCTCAACATTATAACAATTTACTTTCAAAATAATGTCGGACTTGTTTTGTTTTACCATTGTTTCTTTCAGCTTGTATAACAATTGCACTTATAGCGTCCATGATTAACGCATTCGCCTTAGAGAATAAAGTACCATCAAAATCCTTCACTTGTGTCACAAGTATTTTTTATCTGACTAAAAACGCATATTTCTATCTTGATAATTAACTCAATAAAAGCATTTCCTTCATACTTTCTCTCCTGCTTATATTTTATAATACAGAAGTATTTCAAAGCTATCTCACTAAATCACCAGTGTTTACAAGCAGCTAACCAATTGGATTGGTCGTTTACCTGTCCAGTACGTCAGGATGGTTGTTTCGTTGTCGATTGTGGTGGTGGTAATCATTATTGGGATTGGTTTTTGCCCAATGGTACTACTATAAAGACAAATAAACTGACTGATTGTGAAAATGGCAATTATAGTTACAGTGCTGGCATTGTTGTTGATAATAGTGAATCCATCGAAATGAAGAGCAGTTCATTGTGTCCTGTCTTTGCAAGTATTAATAAAGGCAAAGTTGTAATTCGGTCAGACCCGCATAATTGTATATTATCATACAGAGCAAATAATTGTAATTTCGAACCTATTTATTTAAATGTAAGTTTGTCATTATGTTTTCACGTTTACATTTGTACTGTGAATAAAGAATTTGTTTTTTAATCTTCTTTCCGTATTAATTGGTTTATCCAAAATTAGTTCTGTTCATATGACATTCCCTGAACATGGTTATCAATTGTTTTGTAGATGCTTTGAATTAAAGAATGTAGGGAATTTATGTTTTTGTTAAAAGTTCTGTTTTCGAGATATTTTAAGTAGAAACTACATCCTTTGTCATTTTACTGCAAATGCTCCTGTTCTGTTAGTATAACACGTTTCACTTTCGTCGTGTGACATGCTTATGTTTCTCTGTAAGCATGAAATATATTACTCATGGTTTATTTATCAGACTCTATTCGTAAAATTGCAGCTCATAGACATGTGCTATGAAGTAGTGGTAACTTAGTTGTTAGGGTATTCTAGTTCCAACCATTAGGTTACAGGTTCAAGTCTTGTTCCGTCTATTTCGATTCATCCAGAGCCTATTACTATCACCAGCCCTCATATATGAAGTATATCTCAGAGCCGAATTCACAAATCTGTATTTGGTGGTTGAGCTTAATGAGTTACAAGAAGTGTTACTAATTGTCTCAAATCCCCCCCCCACACAGAAAGTGAAATACATTTCTCTAATTAGCGTTTCCTGTAAATCTAAGTGATTGTTAGTAATCGATATATTTATTTTTTTAAATCTGATTCCTTAATCATACAAATCATGGGTAATTTTGGTACATTTTGATAATTTTCGGGACTGCATGGTTGGTCTCAGCTGTATATGTAACTCTGCTTTCAGCCGATAGATTGCGGATTTCAGCTTCACCATTCGTAATTCAGTCTGGAAAGCTGGGTAATATCATTAAATCTGACATATATAATGTAGCTCAAGGCTGATAATATTAACCTGTACCTGGAAAATCACCTACAATCGTAGAGATATACTGAAATTAAGCTTAAAATATAGCTTCATTGGTTTTTCATAACTTCAGGTCTCGGCTTTTTTCAGGCTGATAAATATTTAGATGTCACTTTACCTGAAAGTAGAATTCAGAATTAGTAGTTTCTATACTTTATCTTCAACCATTAGGTTGGAAATTCAAATTCAACTGTACTTACTGTAATCTAAATACTCAAATAGTGTCTTGAGTCTTTATACAATAAATATTCCTGGAAGTTTCTCAGTAAACTTCTGTTTAAGCTTTTTCGAAGAAACGATTAATACTGGGGTTTTTCATAATTTTAATGAAGTGACTACTGATTGCATAGTGTACTTTGTTATCGTCAATTGTTTGCATTTTTACTGTGTTGTGTTCTCAAAAACCTTTTAATAATATATTTTAGCCGTCTCTTCATGGTCAAACAATTAACACTTGTTTATTGCTCAATAAAAATGACATATTCGGTGTTCAGAATTATCTTAAAGGTTAGTTTTATTCTACACTTTAAAAAAACATATTGTCTTAAATACAAGTCGTTTGATATGTTTTACAATCTCATGACTCAGTCTTGAATTACAGTTGACAAGTCAGAAACCTTCAGTTTGTTACATTAGTTATTAATTATTATCATGCGGCAGAAACTTGTAACGTCACCAATCAGTCGTGAATTTAATTTCATCTTCAATTGCCGAAGTTTAATCAACCCAATAATTTCATATGATATGTATGACTATAACGTAACAGATGAATATGTACATGCTTGTTGAGTTACAGTTGGAATCTTTATTCAGTAATTAGCATACTACGCCGAACAACCGTTTTTGTGGATTATGGTTATAATAAGCAGTGTTCGAAGTGATTGAGACAGATTTTTATACGAATAAGTTGTGTCCTACTGTAGTGAACAAGAACACCAGTGGGGACAACCGAATGTATTTAACACAAAATTACAGGACTTGTTAATAAAATCTAACAATCATAAAGTAAATGCTTAATTTGCAAAATGTCCACCAATTGTCTCAAAATCACTCAGACTTCATTGTTCTTGCATTTTCATACAAATGGCATTCTGTTTCCATTGTTTACTGTTTGATCCTTTTGTCTCTCTGCTGCCAGACCTTCTGTTCACGACTAACATCATATACTATTTATGTCAATATAAGTAGCAAACATCATGCTACCAGATATCAGTTTTGTATACAGTACAACTATTTCAATATACACTTTAAGAATGAAAGAATTTTAAAAAAATATTATAAATATAATAAGTTTCTTCACTTGGTATTGTTTTGCTTGAATCTTCCCATTGATGTTTTAGGACTGAAATTGATCAGTCTGTTATTGCCATATGTGCATACTGTGCGTATGCCTCGACATTGCCGTAGTTTACAAGCATTATAAGCAAAGATGGATAGTGGCTAGCAGTGGGAAGATTCAAGTAAAACAGTACCAAGTGAATTAAACTTCACCCCATTGCACAAGCAAGTGGCTATCAGGACTCAGTAGCTAAGTGGATAACGCGATGGTGTTTGAAGCGAACGGTACTGAGTTCGAGTCCCGGAGTGAACATCAACTTTAAGATGCAGGTACATCCAGCTGACGAGTCCCAAACAGGACGAAACGCGCGTCCTGGATTCCACTGCTAGCCACTATCCATTTTTGCTTATAATAAGTTTCTGTTTATTTAAATCATTGATTTTTATACATTGATAAACAGTTATTTTATATTACGATTCCAATCGAATAAATCTGTTTTCTATTATAAATAAATAGCTTCATTGTTACGAGTCGGTTCTTTGTTATAGAATATAAGCTAGTTTCTCTTATAAACATAGTGAAGAATGAATTGAAGTATAAATGTTCACTGAATGATAGGGGTTTTTTCATAATTGTGAACCCATTGTTGTTATTATGTTTCTTTACATTACTTGGTTTTTTCTCCAACTTCCTTTAACTTGTATGGCTCTAACAGTATTTTACCACATACAAATGTAGTTATATAAGAGGAAAAAGATGAAAATAAATTCCGTACTTTTTATTTTGCCTACTTCCTAAGTAGTATTATTGTCTATCTCTAAAATTTCTTCACAGAAATTACGATTATTGTTGACTTGCCGTCATGTGGTGCGTTTATCCGAATAACTAATATTTAAAAAATATTTTATTAAGTTTTCAACCAGTGACTTTTTTAATTCCCTCCGCTAATCAATAAGTTGTAGATCACATTTCTTTCCATAAAATGTAACATTTAAACTGTTTCACCCTGACAGTACACTAGTATAGCTACTTGTTATAACTTCAAGAAAATTGAATCCTTACTACGTGCTATAACTGAAAAAGAACTGATCTGGCTTAATACAAGGGAGAAGGCAAGACTGCAGATGAGCATCTGTCATGTTCCACAAATAAATAAAAAACTCTGTGGAAACCACACTGCGTTATACATGTAATTATCTGATCAATGGTCGAATTAGAATATATATCGAACCAGCCAATGCTTCACATAAATTAATAAGTAACCTAATGTATGTACACTATTTACAGTATCATCAAGTTAAACTGCTTCAATTAACAATTATAACTAAATTACTGAGTTATATGGTTTCTCCTCTCTAACACAAATGATACAAAATCTCCGTTTGTTAATATGTTTATATTTTGTTGTTGTTATATGTTTAGGTGATTCAAATGATCAACACATTGAATTATATTGTTTCGCTGGAGGAGAAGATACTTTGATATCGAGTTGGAAGATATCGTTGCCAATGATGAGCACTGATCCATGTATAAATGGTAGATACTTCTCTGTAAACCTACTTATCATTCACTTTAGTTTTTTTACTCAAATAATTAAATAATACTTTCATTATGTTAGATGAGGTAAATTGGTGATAAATTATCACAGGTATGGATAGTATCCATTAGAAAGTAGTCATGTTATGTTGCAGTTCACTTTTTTCCTAATAAATATTGATTTTCCTCTGCTATCACAACAAAGTTGTCATTTTTTGTTTTGTGCCTTTGGTTCATATACTTCTTGTTATCTCACAATAACACGTTATATAATGTAGATATTGAACGATCATAAGTTGTAATTATAGTGGAAGGACTGTAGACATTACTTGATTGTTCGAATTGAAATGTATAAGGACAATCGTCAAAAGTGTAATATAATATACTCAATCTCATAACGTTATCTGCATCTCCTTACGATGCTCCACTGCCTTGTGGATCAGACCTTCAGTTCGAAGGCTCCGGGTGTGGCCCCCCTAGGAAAACCATCTGCTTTGGTTTGGGCACCAGGGCGGTATCACAGCCCTCACACGTATCAAATGAGATCTGTGTGGCTCATATGTATTTGGTGCCTCCTTGTACCAATATCTATGTGTTAAAGTAAATATCTATTGAAACCATCACGTCACAATATTGGTTGTCATGGCTTGGAGCTCCATCTCTCAACATTCTTGTCTATTCACGTTTGTCCAAGTCTCAACTCTTTAATGGTGTAAATAAGTACAATAGAAGTGTTTACTACTTCAACGTGGTATGTTTAAAAATCTGGTAATGATATAATAGACTTGTTTGATTGTTTAGAGATTGTTCAATTGATTACCGGAATGAATCCGATTATTGTACTCAAACGATAATTGGTCATAAATCCAGATTATTGACGTAATCCCCCCCCCCAACGAACAAATTATAAAGGTCAGATTAACTGATTATAAGAGAGAGCTTTTTTTATTAACATAATGCTACCTCTATAAATGAAAATTTTCGTACAAAAAATAAACATTAATAAAATGTCATTTAGAACGTAAATAACTTTATGATACGAGTTTTATAGGTCACTTAGGTTCACTTAATACCCATCGTATCAGTGTCAACATGATGGTAAATAGTGAGCAGTCAAGAAAACAACTATTATTAGAATTAATAATAAGCAACTGTAGAATTTGTCACAAAACGTTTTCGTATAAATATTCATGTATATTAGAGTAAAGCCTGATGACGATCTAATTGAAAACAATTGTTCGCTTATATGTGTTGTTTTAATTTTCACAATGGGAATGTTCAATATTCCAAACAAAACAAGTTAAATGTATACGATTTATATTATTTAAGAAATTTAGAATAGGACTAATGATGAACGTAGCTAATTATCACTCAAATAATCAGCAGTATCTCTAAGTCGGTGTAACTTAAATGATGATAATCTTTATTTCGCATCCTTATAACTATAAAAAGTTAAACTTTAATAAAGTTTATTCTTATTTTTTAGTACCTTGATATAGCTAACGTAAATGACATCTTTTAAAGTTACATCGTTTCCTTTTTTATGTTATTTCTTGCACAGAACCGATTTCCAGTTTCCCACAACATCATCGTGGTCATATATCGAGTGTTCGTTGCGTAGATATACCTTATATCCTTATTAATAATATAAATTCAACCCAGGAAACTGTTTCTAAACGTTACATGCTGAGTGCTGGTGGTCGTGGGCAAATTTGTTTATGGCGTTTAGTATCATCAAATGAACCTGCGTTAGTAGCAGGCTTCTTAGGTTCCACGAAAATTCGACATAATGAATACTGTCGGGTTGGCAATGTTTCTGACGATAATGATACTGTTCAGCAGGATAATGGTAGTGATCACGATGATGATTTGAAAACTGCTAAATTTAAAAATGTTATTGTATCAAGTGATATACGTGTAATGGCTTTAGATTGTGTTCAAGTTCCTAGACAAGAAGATCAACTAGATGATAATATACTAGTTATTGCAGGTTGTTCAGATGGATATGTACGGTAAGTGATTTATTATTTTCCTCTTCTGATTTTGACACACTAACCAGTAGATACACGAGCTGCGGTCATAAAAGCTTCATTGTACAACGTTTAAGGTAAACCAATCTTAATTTCTGTCAAAATACTCCACATTTTCTACAAGACTCTTGTTCCAGCACCATTTTCATGGTTTAGAATATTCTGGAATGTTTTCAGCAACACAGTAGGTTGACGGTCATTCTGACCTCGTATTATCTTTGCAGAATGACTGGCTTTACTGAAACTCTTGGTCTACATAAAAATAGCCATTTTATTCAACGTGTTTTCTCTACAAGTAGCCTTTGATATTTCATAAAAGTTTTACCAAGTTTCGATACAGTAAAAGTAGATTGTTGACTGAGTTTTCCTGTTTGTATAGTTGACTATAGTTTGAGAGATTTTCAGCAATATTATTAAGGTATAGATGAAGAGGAGATTCTTTACGTGCTGACAGCTAATAGTATGTCCCAACCACTATTTCTACTTCTACGAGCAGAACTATATACAGCTACTAGTAAGTAATGACTCTCGCTCTGCTAAGCCATTTGGAAGTTGAGTTTTTTAATTCCATATTTATAATAGTTATCAAAAATGGTCTATAATTACGAGCATACTAGGATTCTCTCAAGCCATTAGCACGTAACTCTGACTACCAATGTGATTTTTTCATTCCGACATTTTCAAAATTGAAATTCATCCTAAGTTTGTTAACATGATGTCGTAGTTAGTCCCTCTGTTGTCAAATATCTATTTGATATCGTATAATATGCAGGTATTAACAGTTATGTTATCGTCACAAAAGCAATTATCACAGTACTGTAAACATTCTAGATTTCTTGTTTAAAAAACACATTTTGGTTAGATTGTATAAAACGCTTAATGACATCCAAACTACTTCTATGCTATTGTTTTCCTCAGATTGATTCATGTTCAACCATCGTCTGGAAGTAATAAGGAATATCCGAAATTCTCAGAAATCGAACGAATCAATCCAACGATATTACCAACTAACAAATCAGACAATCACATCAGTTGTTGTTTAGATTTAAAACTTTTGCAAATCACTTCCTATCAGATTTCTTTTGCTATTTCGAATTCTCGTGGGGAATTACATGGATGGATTATACCATGGTGTCCTTTGAGAGGTTATGGTTTTACTGATAACCACCAATGTACCAGTGAACCATATATGTATCAACAAGACAAGGATATTGACGGATTATTTGGTCTTCGTCTAAACTCTGCCTACCATTGGATGCTGAACTGCCAACCAATTCCACCATTTCATATACAAAACCCATTGGCTTTTAATTGTATAACTTCGCCAACAATAGAGGTTACTTTATCTGACAGTAATACAATCTCAACGATTATTGTAGTTGGTGGGGATGATGGTAGTATTCGTATTGCACAGATTCCTTTGGATATCTGTCATTCATCAAAATCTAATGTAACATATCCTCAGTGGTCCGCTTCGTGTGTAAAACATTTCAGTAGTGTTGTGAAAATTACCACATGTCCTAATTTCGAATTGACCAACGAGTTTTTATATTACTTCTTAAGTTTAGCTTCGGATCAACGAGTGATTCTATGGCGTCTAAATAAAACTTCATCATGTGATTTCCAATTAAATGCAACGAAATATTTTCTATTATGCGGTTTAGGTGATCCTCATAGTTTATCTGTAACCAGTATAAATATTCAATCTTTATGTATTTATACAAAAGAGTATAAGAACAAATGTTTTGTACTTGTTGTTGGTACTGGTGCTCAGTTGATTCAAGTATTTTAAAATAAAATTTTCAAAAAATATTGTACATGAAGCTATCATTTTGTGCATTATATATTTTCATAAATGTTGAATTTCTTTGTTTGTCCTGTCGTTTCACAATTTATCTTTTATATCATCAGCGTTGTTTTCGTGATTTGATTATTTGGAATATATTATGTAGGAACTTCATGTAATTATTAAGTAACAAATGCCCTGGTACGGCCAATTGTCGGGAGAGTCCGCTCTCCCTCTCGAAATGCTCTCAAATAGCCTCGAGTATACAGCCACTTTCAGGGAAGTCTTACTGCCTTCTCGCGAAAGGGGTATTCTTTTACGAAATTCAAAGGATAGAAAGCGAATTTTCCGTGATTTGACCGAGTTGGAGGATATGGAGAACCTACCTAGGGGAGTTGGAAAACACTGACTCCAAACCAATGGTGTACTTGGGCTCCAGAGTTCTGAAGGAATAAATGGTGTATGAACCTATTGTTGGTCTCCGTCTACCATCGGAATGCATCTCCTAATGTTGCTCCACTGCCTTGTGGATTAGACATCTGGATGAAAGGCTCAGAGAGTGGCCCTTAAGGAAACCATATGCTTCGGTTTGGGCGATCGGCTAGTATTCCAGCCCTTAAACAAATCGAATGACAAGGTGTGACGCATACATTTTGGATGCCTCCTTGTATCAATGCATGTGTTTAAATAAAATAAAATAAATGAAATACTATATCAATTGTTTATTCTATTATATACTTGATGCTTACTAAGATTTTAAATCAAATGTGACTTGAATTAATAAAGTAATGTGATCATTTCAAGCCAGTTTCAATTTGTATACAATCATAATTTAGCTTCTTTGCAGGGTTTTTGCGTTTACTTCCAACATTACGGCTGTATAGTTTATTGGTTGAGCCTCCAGATTTGTAGCGTACACTGTTACTGACACGTAATCTTCACGTATTAACCGAGTTTACGAACTGAATAATACTAATTAGATTTAAACTTTTTGGTAATACTTTTATAACTGTTGTATTATACTCTATCATTGCTTATAGATTTTATACATCTACTGATGTTAACGTTTAATATTCCGAAATCAAATTTTGTGGGCTTTTTTTTCTAGGACAAGGTATCATCATGAAAATGTAATAATTGTTTGCAATTTTTCAGGCTTTGAAACATCAAGTCCTCAGGTTTTAGTTGCAATATTAGTGACACAGTCAAAAGGATAGTATGCCTTTTAAGCAAATAAAAAAGTAAAGTTTTAGTATCAACTATTAGAAAGGAAGAAAAACAAGGCTAAATTATATGCGCATGTGGGCTATTGCTGAAAATGAATTTTCGATTATAAACAAATCACAAGCGTCTAAGAAGTAGGATTCGCAAGAATTGAGCATCTTTCTATTTCAACTTATAGACAGGGTTTCAAATATTTATATATAAACAGAGTTGGATGATGGCCAGTAGTAGAATCCAGGAAGTGCATTTCGTCGTGTTTTGGACTGGTCAGATGGATGTACCTGGATCCCAGAGTTCATGTTTACCCGGTACCGTCCGCTCCAAATGATATTGGGTAATCAACATAGGATGTACATATCCCCAAACTGGCTGGTCATTTGCAATCCTAAACATCATTAAGAAGATTCAGACAACCAATCGAAAGGAATTCGTGTATAAACGTAAATGTTTATGGTAATAAGCTCAATTCAGGAAGTTCATATCACTCACTGTAATAGATAGCTAATTATATCTCATTTAATAATACTAAGTACTGTGGCCAAATGGGTTAAAAATACATAAAGTAAACGGGAAGTTAGGTGGGTACAAAATTACCATTCAATGCACCAAGAAAACTGTAAATATGGTTAGTGTTATAGCGGACATGGTTTAAATTGATACGAATAAATAATACATGACAACCTTTTTCTGAAATCGTAAAGAATGTAACTGTCATCAACGTTTGATCCTTCAAATGATATTTATTAAAAGTGTGGTGCTCACGCTTTTTTTTACAATTGTGAAGTGACTGAATATACAGTTTCTAAGTTATGTAAAGGACCGATTAAATGAAGTATTTTCATTTTCGATGATCAACATTTTATCGGGTGAATCAGATGAGGGAATAGATGTCATTAACTCTTCAATTCTATATATTTTTAATGGATTACGTACTTTGTGCCTATGTATGTAGTTCGATATTCAAATATGTTAAATATAATTTTTAAATCTGATCATTAAGACTCAATAGAATTAATCGAAATGATGAGACAGGTATAAAAAATGTTTTTTGTTTCCCATAGATATCTCTAAACACCATAAAAGTGGGTAAACAAAAATGTGTTCTTTTTCTGGGAGGGGGAAAAGGGGTTTTGTCATGATTACACTAGATGTTTTATTTAAGATTTTCGTGTGAAAAAAACAGATGTGTCAATTTCGTCATTCGTAACATGTTACTTTAATGAAGAAAAAATGCGAACATTTTGTCTGTTATTATTCTTGAAATTATAGTGATTCACTTTGTTATACATATATATGTTCACGTACACATTTCGATTCGCTGATGTTACTATATTTGTTCGTAAACCTTTTATGTTTGTGATACACAACTGACAATATAAAGTAGATGATTGAAAATATACTACTTTTTGTTTCTCTGTAACATGTCAATGTTATGTAGCAAGTCGTTAAATCGTTTCTAAGAATGAGTAAATCTTTATTCAGTCGCTAAGTGATAAGATATAACAAATTTCTGACTAAAAATGCATTTAAATGAGATATTATTGGGATTTATTTTAATATTAATATTGATATCGTTTGTTATTATTTATCCTCAGTTGTGTAACAGTTCTCTTTCATTAAAAGTGTTTTACCTGAAAGATTAAACGCGAACGCATCATCCACTGAGCTACTGAGTCTAAACAATTCTTTTAACGTGTATTAAGGTATTAGTCATGGTCTGTAATCTATTGTTACTATTTGAAACTTCAATTCATTGATACCCTTTTATGTAACCACGGTTGAATCTGAGTGCATTTAACTAACGAGGACGAAGTCTGCGTCATGGATACGACTATTAGACACAATCTAATTATATTAAAAATTAGTATCAGAAGGGGTTTTGTGGAGATTGTAGTAATTTCAACAGTTGAGATCATGATTCAATTGAAGCTAGACCACCATTGAAAACATGGAAGCACTGGACGGCCGTTTCGTTCTATTGTGGGATTCCTCAGCAGTACGCATCCATGACCCCGCCTCGCGGGATCCAAACCCAGGACCTATCAGTCTCGTGCCAGGCACTTAACCTACTAGAGCACTGGCGCGAGACTGGTAGGTCCTGGGTTTGAATCCTGTGAGGCGGGGTCGTGGATGCGTACTGCTGAGGAATCCCACAATAGAACGAAACGGCCGTCCAGTGCTTCCATGTTTTCAATGGTGGTCTAGCTTCAATTGAATCATGATCTCAACTGTTGATATTAAAAATTGTGAAGAAGGCTATGTCTAGTCATCCCGTTTAGGATTCACAAATTGTGGCAAACACCAATCAATGATAGTTTTGGATTTCAGCAATCGGAAAATCAAAATTATTACTAAATAGTGCATTGTTCGATGGTTTATTAATTTCTGGTATTTGTTTACACATCTACAATTTTTAATTGATCTATGAGACATTTCACTTCTATACCTCATTCTGTAAAGAATTTGTTTTTGCTGTTTTGTTTATGGATGCATTTTGTATTTATTGTGTTTAAAATTGCAGCTCATATGTCGTTCCACTGAATAATAACAAGAGCCTATCAGGAACTTAGTAGAATCCGGCACAAAAACTCATCAACCCAATGTACTACACTTTAAATAATTACAAATAGAGAAAAACTGACATTATAATGGCCTAAGCAATCAGAATGTAAGTATCAATCATAGTTAAGATTAATGTATGGGAGTTGTTGCAACTTGACAAGCGATTGAGTTTTTGCTGGTTCTACGGTAATAGCGAATTACAGACGTCTGCGATCATTATATACAAAAGAAATCTATTGTGAATTCGGTCGTATGGCAACTGAAAAATAGCGATAAGACTGAAATTTAGTGGATGAACCATTCAGATTGAAGGTTGTGACTCTTCGATTTTGGCGCCAAATTCGTCTATCCATATTGCTAAATTACATATTGACAATATAGCTGATGTCACATTGCAATAGAAACTTCCTCACACTAATTTATAACCTTATTTAGTCCCTAGTAAACGGTTAAATTTTTCGAAAGCCACTTAATATTGCTCAATGGTCATCCATTAATTCTGATTTCACCCACTTCCTAAATGATATATATATATATATATATATATATATATATATATATATATATATATATATATATATATATATATATATATATAATTTCCAGAGTCCTAGTTATATGCTATTTTAGGTTGCTATCAACTAGCTTTACTGAATAAATATTTCAAGCTTTCATTGATGAACATTTGGTTTCTTCTAGTAGTTAATTTAAATGTTTTTTGTATCTATATTTCATGAAACAGAAATAAATCATGTGATTGTTGTCAATATTGTTTAGTAAGATCTTATTGTTGTCTGTTTTTCTAATTGGAGTTACGTAATTCAAAATCAACTGATTAACTACAGCTTCATTAGGTTTTGTTTATTTTCTAATGAATTCGGAAAATATAACGCGTTCAGTTTTGCGTGTTTCGTATTATCCTTAAGTAACATTTTTCACGTAGAATTCGAAATTACAGTTAAGTGATAAATGCTTACAACACTGAGATTAAAAAGGCAAATTGAACCAAGAAATAGTCATTTTCAATTAATTCTTCATCAAGTCTGTACAATAATATGTTTATTTTACAAGTGAGTAGAAGTTCAACTAGTTATTTCGTGGCTGCATTTTAAGGTGAATCGACAATATCTAGGACTGGACGAAGTGCTAAACCAGTTTTATGTACCTTTGATAGACCATAAAGTCTAGGTGTCGCTATACCCATGGGTCTAATTCTCGCTATAGGACCACCATTAGTCCCAACCTTATGTGATCACTTTCTGGTAAAATTGGAAAATGGTCCTCTAAAGGAAGTGATAGTCAAACTAGTTTTTTGTCGTTATATGGATGATAGTTAC